CCCCCCCGATGGCCCAGTCTCTTGCTCACCAAGCCCCATGGAGCGATGCCTCGCGTTGCAGCGCGGCCGTGGCGAGTGCGCCCTCTGCACCCCGGGGCTCATGCTTCAGGAGGGCCCGGTGGCGCACGGCGAGCCGGCCGCCTGCACCATGGTCTGCCCCTCCCAGAGCCAGATCAATGGCGGCATCTGCGAGCTGGGCCCGCTGGACTGGGGCATCCGCCCGCCGGGCCACCTGCGCCTTGCCCAGGGCGGGGACTTCTCCCTGGGGCCTCCGCGGCTCCTGGCCCGGTCGCTGCTCAGGCCGATGGCCTCCCTCGAGCGGTGGGCCCTGGCCGAGGCCCTGCCCCCGGAGGAGCACTCCCATGTGGTGCTGGCCCTGGGCCCGGGCATGGCCGCCCCGCGACTGCTGGACATGGCGGCGTCCCTGGCGCCTGTTGGCACGCCGGACAGCCGGGTCCCCCCGGTGCTGGGCACCGCCGTGGCCTACGCCGAGCTCGGGCCGCTGCATTCGCCGGGACCACCCGAGCGTGTGGCCCTGGTGCAGGTGTTCTGCCACGGCCCCGGGCGGCTGGGCTTCATCACGGCCACCATCCCCCGGCAGGCCGGCCCGGCGGATGTGGCCCCCGTGGACTTTGGCCCGGTGCAGGATGTGCCGCTGCATGGGGCCCGGTGTGTGGGCCTCCGGCGCCTGTCGGCCCGGGCCCTCAGCATGCTGCTGGTGCCGGAGGCCGGGGAAGGAGACCCGGCCCCCGGGGGCCCGGGCGGCCAGCCCTCTCGCGCGGCCCTGGTCATGCTGTCCCCCGGGGACGACCGCATGCCGGATGGGCTGACGGTCATCCTCCCGCCCATGGGCCACACAGGCCCCGGGCACCTGGCCACCTTCCCGTCCTTCATGGACCCCCGCCCGGAGGGGCCCGCATGGTGGTACCTCTTCGGCGGCCAGGGCAGCGCCCCTGCCGCCGGGGGTTTTGGCACCGCCCTGCCGGCCGGGGTGCTGGAGGCCGAGGACCCACAGGCCCGGCGGGCGTCCGGCCATGCGGTCGTCTGGCAGGCGGGGATGCTGAGCTCCTTCTCCCCCCTGCTGGTGCCGATGGCCCTCGACACGCATGCAGCCTCGCGGCATCCGGCCGAGCTGCTGTTCACTTGGGTGTACCAGGAGGCCTGGTGGGCGATCCATGTGCCGGGAGCCGGGTCGCTGCAGGGCCGCTCCCGGAACATGGGCTCGCGCGGGGTCCAGCGCCTGGGGGCCTGGCGCGGGCTGTCGGCCGGCCCCGGGGTCGGGCTCTTCCCCCTGCCGGCCCTCGGCCTGCCGACGTACCCCAGCGGCCTGCTGCTGGTCAGCGAGGTCGGGCTGCTGGGGCTGGCCCTGCTCCGGTGCCCGGGCGACGGCACCCACGAGTGCACCCTGCGGCCGGCCACCTGGCACAAGCTGTCCGGGCCGCTGGCCCCCGGGCAGGCGGCCCTGGTGTCGGTGCTGCGGCTGCCCCCCCAGGCAGACCCGGGGGAGGCCATCCTCCTGGTGGGCCTCGGCCCGGACCGGGCCCCCATGTTCCTGAGCATCCACGATGGCGCCTGCCCGGGCGGCACCTTCGGCCCGGCGTGCGAGCCCTGCGACCACCTTTGCGCCACCTGCCACGGGCCCCGGCCGGAGGACTGCCTCACCTGCCGGCTCTCCTCCCCGGCCCCGGGGGACGGCTGCCTGGACACGTGCGCCGACGGGCTGTTCCCCCCGGCCACCAGCCCCTTCATCGGCCAGTGCCTTTGCCACCCGCACTGCCAGACCTGCGCCCGGGCCCCGGCGAGCCTGGGCGGCGGCTATATGTGCACCTCCTGCCCCGCGGGCATGGTCCTCTCCTCGCAGAACGGCGGGGGCGGCGGGGGCGGGGGCGGGGGCGGGGGCGGCGGCGGCGGCCAGCCGATCCCCGAGTGGGGCCACTGTCTGCCCTGCGCCCCGGCGTGCGCCGAGTGCGCCTTCCCCGACGACCCGGCCGCCTGCACGGCTTGCCCGGCCGGGAAGTTCCTGTACCTGGGCGCCTGCCTTGATGCTTGTCCGCTGGGGATGTACCCGGACCCGGGCCGTGCGTGCGCCCCGTGCCCGGCTGGGTGCGACGTCTGCTCGATGGAGCATGACTGCGAGGTTTGTGCCGACGACTTCACCCGCGGCACCGATGGCCTGTGTCACCGGTGCGACGTCTCCTGCAACGGGTGCCTCAGTAGCACGGCCTGTTTGGCGTGTCGCCCGGGCCTGGTGTTCCTGGACCCCCAGGCGCCCTCGCTGTGCGGCAGCACCTGCGCCCCGGGCGAGTATGCCGGCGCGGGCCGATGTGCCGCGTGTGATGGGTCTTGTGCCCTGTGCGACCAGGCGGCCGACCGGTGCCAGGTGTGTGCGGCCGGCTTCCGCTGGGCCGCGGGCCCGCCGGCGGCCGGCGC